TTTTTATTAGCCAATTCAGCAATCTTTTCTTCATGTTCTTTTTTTAAAGATTCAAGTTTAATAATCTTTTCTTCATGTTCTTTTTTCAAAGATTCAAGTGCTGTAATTTTTTCTTCATGATCTTTTTCTAAAGATTTAATTCTTTGATCATGATCTGCTTGAATCGCAACAATTTGTTCTTCTTGTTGTGTAGACATTTGCTTTCGAAGACTTTCAAGAGCGGTCTTGTGAGTAGAGTCCAAGCTATTATGCAATTCTGACATTTCTTCATCATGCTTTATTTGAAGTTTTTCGGTTGCACTTTTAAGAGAATTTTCGAATTCAATACGTAAAGTTGCTATTTCATTGGCATGTTTTGAAGAATTATTATCTTTTTCTTTTGTGATTATTTCAAGTTGAAGTTCCAAATTTTTAATTTTATCATTTGAATCATTCAACTTAGTTCGAATATTTTCTAATTCAGATTCTAAGTTTTTGTTTTCATTTAATTGACTTGAAAGTTTGAGACGTATATTAGATAATTCGTTATTTGCTTCATCAAGTTGTTGACGAAGCTCTTTAGATGTTACCTCCAGATTTGACATATTACTCAATTGACGCTCAAGATTAGAGATAGTATTTTTAGCATCTTCTTTATTTATTGTAAGTTCTTTCAATTCTTTGAGAGTGCGATCATGTTCAATTTGAAGATCATTTAATTTGGATTTAGTTTCTTCATTTTGTTTTATTTCAGCTAAAAGTTTATCTTTTTCAGACCGATGTACAAGTAATAATTTATTTTCTAAATCTTTTTTTTCAGCTTCATGTTGACTTACTAACTTATTTTCTAAATCTTTTTTTTCAGCTTCATGTTGACTTACTAACTTATTTATTTTTAATTCGGCATCTTCATGTGATTTTGATAGATTACTATACCTTGTGGAATGTTCAGATTTTAAAGATTCTTTTTCTTTCGCATGTTGTTGGAGAATTGATTGTTTTTCTTTTTCAAATGATTCTTTCATTTTATTAAGATCATTTTCAGTTTGTTTTTTTAACTGTGAAAGAGTCGCTAATTCAGCTATTATTTTTTCTTTTTCAGCATCATGAAGAAAAGATTATTAAACTTGAATCTTTAAAAAAAGAACATGAAGAAAAGATTGCTGAATTGGCTAATAAAAA